AAACATATAATTAAAATTATATAAATATGAAAATATACAATACTAAAGATTGATTTGAAACATATATATAGTCAAATCTAATTAAGAAAAATAATCTTAATTTTAAAAACATGTCAAAATGAAACTAATAACATCTAACTGAGATAATGAGTTATGAAGAAGATAAATAGGTGTAAAAGTTTTAAAATCTTGACTCTTACCATGAGTCATATGATACATTTTTTAAATAAAGTCTTGTGAATATAATTTCACTTATTCTTATTTTAATCAACATTTAAATTGTTTGATTTTCATTTTGACAATTTGTATTTCATTTGATTTATCATTTTGTTTTTAAAAAAATAAATTTAATCATTGTACAACATAATTATTATCATTTTATATTTTAAATTTTTTTTCACATATTTTATCATTTCACTAAATAACATTGTCTAAATACAATTTTAATTTTAATTTATTATGACATAGAAAATTATGAAAAAGTTAAATAATAAAATTTATAAAACCTTATGGTATAAATTAAACAAGTAATTAAGTTAAACAAATAAGTATATATGGAGATGTTGCTGACCAGGTCAAAAGCAAAAGGCCACAAAATACGATACTTTCTTTACATAACAAATATTTTTTTTAGTTAAAAACTCTATTAATTAGGTTCACTTTGAAATGCGCAAACTCTACATGCTAATGATTTTCATCTATGGCAATAATAAAAGTAATAATAGCAGGATGTTACGATGATAATAACATTGATAATCGTGATTCTTTTTATAATTGACTTTTAATTTCTATTATCTATATTTTTTTTAATTGTTATAATAAATTATTTTTATATTCTCACTAACTAATCATTCTTATTATAATCACTTTCTCTTTATATATATATATATATATATATATATATATATATATATATATATATATATATATATATGTTAATTTAAGTATTCTTTTGTTTTTGTTTTTATTTACACTTTTAAATAATGTCACTTCAACATATTTAGAGACGTGAATAGTTAAACTATATATAAATCATAATCCACACAAAAAGTGTGAGGTCCATTTCACGTCATAAGAGTTCTTATTCAGTTTTTATACGTTCTTTTACTTAGCTGCAATCATTCATAGTCTGTTAATATTAAATACATAAAATATTACCATCATATATAATAGAGGTGAAAGTGTTAATTTTTTAATAATGTAAAAGAAATATTAATATAATATTTTAAATAATTAAAAATATTTATGAACAAGGAGGAGTAATTATTATTGTAATAAAAATCATAATACATGTTATATATATAATTATAAATGTATTGTAATTTAATTGTACATTTTATTCGAACCAACTGAGTTGTGGTATCAGTGTAAATTAACTTTACTAAAAAGTAATATAATGCATTTATTGTTTTTATTAAAGTTATATGATAACTCAAAATGAAAATTAATTTGAAATAAGAGGTAGTGAAAGAGTAATCCAGATTTGTGGTGGCTGTGAAATCATGTATGTAATGTGTGACTGAAATTTTAGGTTTTAAGACTTAATTAGTTAATTCTGCATCTCTCATTGTTTGCTTAAACGACCTCAAACAATGACCTGATGGCTACCTTGTGTTTTCTTTTATAATTTGGTTTCCATTAATGAACTCATCCATACGTTATTGTCGCACATTAAAAAAAGAAAATTGTTGTTTACAAAAGATTAATTAACAAAATTTCATTTTTTTATAACATTTTTTTGGATGAATTTTTACATAAATTTTTTTCTAAAAAAGTATAAAAATAATTCAACTTTTTTATAAGTTCAAATTTATTTACATACAAAAGTAAAATTAAAGTTGAAATAATTATATATTTGAACCATGCTAACAATATATTATATTGTACTAGTAGACAAATAAGGTGGTTGTGGAAGCTAACTAAGAGTAGATGTAGTTTTCTCTGTTTCTCTACCTTGGTTGACTTCTCAATAATCCCACCATTAGAATTTGGAGAATCAACCTAACTTAGAAGAATATTATACTATTTGGAAATATATTCATGTCAAATGTAATTCATAATTGTGGCTATAAATCTCCTCCAATGTTTTGGCATAACTTAGTCACTCAAATTATGTGGTATTGTAATAATAGGTGTACTGTAATACTCATAAAGCCAAACTAAAATGGAACATGTCTTCGATCACCAACTTCGTTCTGTCCATACAATACCATAGATTTTTTTCTTCTTCTAATGTTTCCTAGTTACTTGACCCCTCCTTTGTTTTATCCATGTGGATTTTAGTTGTTTTTTCATTCCTTGTTTAAAAAAAAGACAAAATCAAATAATTTTGATTGATAAAACACTATTTTAAAAATGGAACCAAATCGGTCCATATAATCGAAAATCAAATTAGAAACTGGTCTCTTTAATTCAATTAGATAAAATAAATAAAATCAAGATAAAATAAGAAGGATTAAGAAAAAACTGGTAAAATAAAAAAATCTTTTAGATTTTTAGGTGAAATCGATTTTAATCAAAAATATTATTAGGATTAATTTTTTTAAATATAATTTTTTTTATAAAAGATATAATATATTTTAGTTTTTTTATTTCATAATTATATTAACTTTAAATAATAATTATTTTATTATATTTTTATCTTATTTTAATTATTATTTATTTTTTATTCTTTAATATATTTCATATTTATAATTTTTATTTTAATTGATGATAATCATGAAAATAATTTTTATTTTTATTTTATAAAAAATATTATTAGTAAATATATTTTATTAAACTCGGTTGTATATGATTGAATTCTGGGTATAAAGTGGATTATTTGATTGGATGAATTTAAGACGATAAAATTAAATATTTTAAGTCAAATAGAGTATATTGTATTTACACATTGAAGGATATGGTTATTGAAAATGAAGAGTATGTTAGTATCTTTGTCTGTGCACAAAGTTGAAAATGTATGCTAAATAGAACCAGAGTTTTGTTTATAGAAGATTGGAACCACAAAATACTTAAACTCCGTGTTAACTTTTTAAAGAGAAAATGATAACAGCAAAGGACAAATAGTAAAAAAAACAACCATATAATTGGTCCAATCGGGCACTAATAGATAAATTAACACGTTCCATTGAGTGAAGTCTAATGATTTTTCGAATCGAGTTAATGTTTGTAAATACTAATTAGGTTTTATTTTAAAATACAAATAAAATTTTAACTTTTAGAATTCCAATTTAGATTCTCCTTTATATCTTGTTCTTGCCTCTTGTTCTCACCGTAATGACATTTTTCTACATTTGTATTTATTAGTTTTACTTATTTTTCTTCTATTGATGTGGACCTAGAAAATTGACAAATTTCGTCATTTGAAAAAGTTTTAAACATATTATAAATTTATTATTTTATCATACTTAAATGTATTTTATTTTTTATATTCATTATCATAATTCATTCATATATTTTTAAGTAAGAAAATTAAATATGTTTACGTGTATAATTAAGAATGGTAAAATAAATTAATTCGTCTTGTTTTTAATACGTAAAAGAAAGATACTGACTCGTTATAATTAAGACATATTGTAAATTCAGTTTGTCTCACCAGATCCGTAAATCAGTTCATTAATATTTTTTTATATAAAATGATTTTATATCTATTTTTTTAAAATATACTTTTTAATTATATAAATGATTTTTAATTACTTATTTATTAATTAATATTTTTATTAGATAAAATTAAAAAAATATTATATTTATATATTAAAATAACTAATTATAATTAATAATTTAAATTTAATTAATTAATTTTTTATAATTTAAATTATAATATTATAGTATATTTATATATTTTAATATCATAACATAATAAAGTAATATTTTAAAAGCTGATTGGCATATTAATATCTCGAATCTAATCTATTTTAACATCTTTAAATATAATTTTACTTTGATTTTTTACATTGAAGTGACATTATATTGAAAACTAATGCAAAGGCATTTATTATAAGTGGTTGAAGAGTTAAATTTTGGTCAACTAGTTTTAAATAATTATTTAAATTAATATTAATTAATAATGAATTTATTTAAATTATTGTCCTTCGTGAATAGGTTATTCCTAAGCATTTTTTTTATACCTGTTTCAAATTATTAAAACTCATCCCTTCCCTGCGTACGCGTTTATACATCTTTCATGGTTTTAATAAATGCTATTTATTAATACGAGGTATTAATCGTTCAAAGCAATTTTATCAAACTTCTTTATAGGAGATAGTTTTCCATATATTTAAATCTAAGCTAAGATGTGGACAGTAACGGGGATTAAATATAACATCAAATGGAGATACATACTTCTTCCAAAATAAATATAAGATTAAAATTAAATTAAAGTTAACATCTTATTATAAACATGCTATTATATTTTTTAATTCATATTAAAGGTAAGAGTGGAACAATTAAGCTTTATTTTTATTTTTTTTAACAATTATATATTTATTGATAGATAGATAGATAGTTTAAAAGTTGCAGTACAACCACAACATCATATATACTAAAAAATAAAAATGAGCTGACGGAATGGACAACAAATCAACATGCTTCCACCCATACCACAAAGATGAGTGGCGAGCATTTTTCATATTCCAGATTTGTGTCTTATTATAAAAGAAACAAACAGAAAGTGCTGCTATGAAAAAGACAAGAATACATAATACATGTAATAAAAATGTAAAACTCGTTTCGTTATAAACGATGGTTCATCATATCTTTCTTCATTTTCACTCACGATACATTTTCATTAAATTAAAAAAATAAAATAAAGGAACTTATTTTCATTATCATATAGCACAAACATATTTTTGTACATGATCAAGTGAGAAGTTAGGGGGGAAAGTTGGTAATGTTAAACAAGAGGTGTGTTCTTCCTAATGATTATCTGTTTATTCGTCTTAATTAAAAACTAAGAATCAGAATGAAAATAGGGCCAAAGAAAAGGGTAAGAACATTTTAAATCAAAACAAGCCAAATGCCCAAGATTCTGAATCCGCGATCATTTCTGAGAACTGAGTGAGAGGACCATCAAACACTTGGGTTCCATCACAATCATCGTCTTCATTAATCAGCCAATTAAGTTTTCTAATAAGGTCATCATCATCATCATCACCCCACGAGTTGTTGTTCTTGTCTTCATGGTTGTTATTGTTAATAGTAAGACTACAATCACTGTAATTACAAGACCATTCAAAATCAGGTAACTGCAGGTCTTCAAGGAAGTTGGTTGAATTTGAAGAAGATGTAGAGGTGGGTGATGAGGAAGGAGCACAAGGCATTAGAATCTCATCGGGTTCAATTATTGGAACTTCATCTGTACAGAACCCATTCACTAGCGGATTAAGCTCCATTGTGTCAAATTGGGGTGTTACTATCATTTGGTCTTTCTCTTTCGCTTCAGTTATGGTTGATGACTCCAGTGAAATCTCTGGCTCCTTGTTCGGGTCAACTTCGGTGTCAAAGTCAACTTGCAAAGGTTGTTGGTTTTGCTCTTCTTCCGGTGGTTGGTGAAGTTGTTGTTGTTTTGGTTGATTTTGGGTCTGTTCAATTGCATTAGGGAGTGGTTTGTGTGTGATGGGATCAATGCCCATTTTTTTGAGCTTTTTCTTTATGTGGGTATTCCAGTGGTTTTTTATCTCATTATCAGTTCTTCCAGGGAGATGAGAAGCAATCTTGGACCATCTGAAAAGGAAAATTACAAATTAGTAAAATAATAGTAATAAAAATAATTAAATATATATTGATTACAAAAGAAAGCACGCCAAAGAAAGATTCCATGATTAACAAAAGGTCCACACGGAGATCACTTGAAAGGAAGAATGACTTCATAGCCACTGAAATGTTCCATATGCCATGCAAGCTACGAAATCATAAAATTTTTTCCACAAGACAAATTTTGCCCCCTATTTCCTTTTCTACGTGAATCATAACCAATTTTAGTCAATTTTAACTGCACTCATGACCAGTTCCTACTCTTTTTTTTTATCCCTGAAAAAATGAAAAAAAAAAAAAAGCGAAGAGCTTGGTCTTCAACTTTTGCACGCCTCCTTCCCCTGGGAGGTGTGAGCCATTATGGGACCACGTCTTTTTCTTAAGATGATTAAAGAAATTACAACTTGAGGTGTATGTATTATAGAATAGTAATTCAATTAGGTTGGTGCGTTTGGTGAATACTTAAGCCTAGTCTAATATTTCAAAATGAGCACTGTAGCAATCATTTAGTTTAATCATTAGTATGGTTCTTCAAGAAAACATATACATGCAGAAAAGGTAAAGAAGGGAAAATGGTGGGGGAGGAAATAACCTGTTGCCAAGTTGAGCATGAAGATCAATGACCATTTTCTCTTCGTAGTCTGAAAGAAGACCTCTCTTTAAGTCTGGTCTAAGGTAATTTGTCCACCTGAGCCTGCAACTCTTCCCACACCTTAATAGTCCTGCATGGAGTCACATCCCAATTGTTAATCTTAGTTTCAGTAAAGTGATTGTTTCTGCCTAGCATTTGTGTTCAAAGTTACAAAATTAGCATGAAGGTTGCTTTCTTCAGAAGCCAAGGGAAGAATTTATGACCCTCCTTTTCCCAAATAAAACAGAATAAGAAAGACATTCAAGTTCAAACATTTGTTGTCTTCTTGCAGTTAAAATGCTTAAACATGTTTTGACGAGTATTTCTGAAAGGTGAAATGATATCCCAATTCTGAGTGGTGCTTGATGGAAATCAAATATGAACAGGGGAACAAGGAAGAAATACCAAAAACCAATTAACCATAATGCAAAACATTGATGAACCATTTTGGTAACAGAAGAGCAAAGAAATGAAAAAGTGGCATTTCAGCTTCCCATTTAAGGACAAAATCCTTGTGTGATCAGCTTTATTTAAGAAATGATCTAACAATAGGAGCAATGAGAAGAGACCTGCAAGCTTAGGGACAGCTCTCCAGCAACATTGGCCATTGGTGAGGATGAAGCTGATGAGCTTCTTATCCTCCTCTGCAGTCCATGGCCCCTTCTTCAACCCAACTTTATCACAACATGGTTGCCTTCCCATTTTATTCCAAAAGGGAAAATGCTACAAATCCAAGTTTTGAATAGCAATCTCTGAACACTTGAGGTTCAAATTGAGAGTGTCACAGATTGACAGAGAGAAAGAGAGACTTAAAGACAAACAATAGAGAGAGTTTAAGCGAACTAAGTTAGGATAGAGCACCACCACCTACTTATTTATAGATAGAAATCAACCCCTCCAAACGCCTAAGTAGCTAAAAGTCCTCAAACCCCACTTTCTCAATTTATCTTTTATTTATTTATGAACAAAATTGTGAGGATTATTCGATTCATTTTCTTTCTTTGTTACTTCTTCCTTGTATTCAATGGACACGTGTGCAGAAGGGAGGAGACACGTGCCGAGTCTCAGTCTGAAAGCGCCACCTCATCGACCAACTTTGCTTGGGATGGAAGCGTGAGATACTCCAGTCACTGACTCAAACCTCTGAGCATGGTAAGAGTCTTAAGTAAAATTAAGACAATACCACAAATAATACACACATCATCAAGAGTCTCGTCTCATCTTTTTCTATTCAACGTTTTTTCATTTCTACTAACTATTTGCAATGTGTGAATGTGGTGCCAAGTGAGCGCAAGAAAGAGAAATGGATAATTTGTTTTAACTAGTATTTTTGCTGAATAAAAACATCACGTCATTAAGCAGAAGTTTGAATATTCCGATTTAGCTCCAAGCCCTAACTATAAAAAGAAAAGGTTGGACCTGGACAAAATGTTAAACAATATACTGTTAAAAAATCTTCAAATTATTAATTTTTAAGTAATAAATGTTAAACAATATATTTCGATTGGGTTAATCATCAGATCGGTCAAAAGATATTTTGATTAAGGTCGAAAAATGTTTATAATCTTTTTTTATTTAACTTTAAACTCATAAAAAGTATTCTATTTAATTATAATAATAATAGTAATAGTATATTTATTTTTTTATATTGATTATTTCACAACCAAATGCTAATAACGTGTTGTAGACGCTATATTTTATGACAATGAATACCTCTTTAAACTGATAAGTTCTATTGATTTCAAGAATAGATAAGTTATACATAAAAATTAAATATTTGTATACTTTTATTCAATTGTATATGATTGTAATAAACTTGTTATCTTTATAATAATTATATTAAAAATAATTATGTCATTCTTCGTTGTCAAACATCCCAATAACACACTCATATATATGTCTTTGTTTATTATTACTTTTTATGTTTTTTAGTAAGTTATTATAGTACCAAGTTGATGGTGTTAAAAGTTTATCGGGTGTCCATTATTTATCTTTTCCATTTTAAAGATCATATTTATATTTGTTGTGAAAACCTTTTAGTGCAGATAAATTTTAACTCGTAAATTAAAATTTAAATATTCTATTCAGTATCATTTATAACAGAAATTATTATTATTTGTATGTATTTGTGACTATATTTTCCTAGGCGTAGGGAGAAAATGAAACAGCAACGACCTAATAAACCGTAGTAGCAATGTTTGAATTTGGCATTTGCACACTATTTTTTCTGTTGACTATTGTGTCATGAAAATAGCATTTATCCAAAATGTTGCTTCACTCGTGAAAGAAGAGTGATGTTTTGTCTGCTTAAATGAATCCTACATATTGATAAATCATTCAGAAAAGTAGTTCACTATTTTTAACGTAATCATGGTAGGTTAATATATATATATATATATATATATATATATATATATATATATACACACGTCATGTACCATCTTCATATATAACGTTGTCCCAAAAGAAAATGAATGCCCTCAACATGAAAAGTCCATGGATGGCCTAAACTTTGAAGTTTGGAAAGATGAAAAATTATATAGAGAACTCAGTAATTTTATTCTTGTAAAAAAAAAGTCCTTTATAATTTTGTATGGAAAGAGAAAAGATAATTAGAGCTAATTTTGTATTTTTTTTTTTAATATAAGTATGTCTGTGTGTTTTTTTAGTTTCCTTCAATCACAGTTTTTTTCTTCATCTTAGATATTTGGGTAAAATTTGTATTACGTGTAATTGCAAATATAATTATTTTTTGAGAATATATAATTATAAAACATTTATATAGAATTTGGTGTATGTATATTTATTTAATTACTTTCATTCTTTTATAAATAAGGGTGATAAAATCTATTTTGCATAATATAGTTAAGAAAATTATAACAAATATTATCAGCTTTTGAAATTCTTTTTTTCAATAAAATATGTTTTTCAATAAAATGATTAAGATTTAGAAAACATAAAAAAAAGTGAAAGAAAATAGAGAAAATTGAAAGATCAGTATTAAGGTTAGAAGCATTGAAAGATAGTATTAAGGATAGAAAAAGATCGGATTAATTGAATATTAAAAGTTGGAGAAAATGGAATAATAAAATATTAAGGGTGACAAAAATAAGGTTATAAATAAAAAAAGTTATAAATAAAAAAATGTGAAACAGTAATAACTTCAAAATATTTAGTATAAAAGGTTAAAATGTTAATATGTACTAGTGGAATGAAGGACAAAAATAATTAATTAAAAAATCTTTTTTTTAATAGTAAATGCAAAAGGAAATGAATACAAATAAGATAAGTGAAAAAAAAAACAACAAAACTGCGTTAAAAACTTGTATTATGAAAAAAAAAATTAACCGAAAAACTTTTCAATTAAGTTCTTTATAATTTAGATTAGTTTTGATATTATTATTGAAAAATATTATAAACGTCTTTAAGTTAATAAGAAGAGATTCATTTTAAAAATTCACTTCATATTAATTATTGAATAGGATAATTTTTAGATTTAATTATAATACAGTAAAAATTGAACCATTATTATTTATTAATCTAAATAAAAAGAATTCATTAATGATAATTGTTTCTTATTAAATTATTTTTTACCATAAACATCTACTTAAGAAATGAATGTAAATATAAATTATATTTATTATGGACTATTAAATAAATATAAGATTTAAGAATGTACAATTATGTTCTTACCAAAAAAATTAATAGTCTTGGCTAGAATAATGTACAGGATGAAACTTTTTTGTATGAGTTGAGATAATATTAATGAACAATTCCAAAATAATATATATAAAAAAAAGGAAAAAAAAGTTTATTTATAAAGACCCGATCAATAAAATAAAAATAAAATATAAGAGAATATAAATATGTAAAAATAAAATATTAATAAAATAATAATATAAAAGAATATAAATATACGAAAAATAATGAATAAGATTGTATGGGTAAAGAATAAAACTCATATTTTATAAAAAAAGTTATCGAATAATTTTAGGTAATAAATAATACTGATATCATAATTTTTTTATTTATTATTAAATAATCATGTGTTTAGTTATATATTTATTTTAAATATTTATTAAATTAATAATATTAAAATTTTGAAATTCTATTTAATTTTTTAATATGATGCACAAAACAACCTTTAGTTTTGATGTTTGTTGCCTATATTTTTTTAGTTTATCTCTCTTCGAGACTTAAAGTCTACTTATAGTTAAGTGTTAGTAATATTTTTATTCAATTCAAATATATTTACATTTTATAGAGGGTAGGTGTTTCGGTGAAAATTTGATCGATTTTGATTCATCGGGAGTTAAGTTCTAATCAAATCTCAACCATGTAGATTCTTTTTACTTAGGCTAACAACTAGTTTTCAATCGAAAAATGCATGAGGATCGAGAATCTTATAATGTAAACCGGCATGACCTAGAGTACAAAGTACTATTTTTGATGTTTTTTATTAAGAAATGCGAAATAAAGAAAGCGTTGAATCGAAGAGTAGTGCGAAATATCAAATTGCAGGGAAATGTAAAAAACGGAAACCTCAAATTTGCATTAAGCGTAAATGGCGAGAAATCGAAATTGCAGAAATGTAAATAACAGGAAATCGAAATTGCAAGAACTTAAACGCAGAATCTCAACTTACATAAAAGTAAAATAACAAGGAATTGAAAGTGCAGAAACTTAAAGTACGTAAACTTGCATCAAAGTAAATTGCATGAACATAAATTATCAGGGAAAGTAAAGAAAGCGATACAGACAATCAATGAAAATGGAAACCCAGATCGCCAGAAACTTCATGATTCGTCGTTCTCCGGTAGACTTTTTCACTTGTGTTTCTGTTGTCTTTGCCAATTTCCTCTCTTTTTCAAGTCTTCGCTCTATTTATAGAGCATTCTTCAAGTAACTTTCTAAGAGTAGTTAATAAAACTGTCACCACGATCCTACGTGCAAATCCCTTAGTCTTACAGTTTAAAAACTGCATTCCACGTTCTCACGCATAAGAGAATTGCTCCCTTGATCTTCGATCTCAGCCACGGTTTAGGAACCGTTTCCCATGTTCCATGTGTGTGTTAACCGCTCCCTCGATCTCGATTTCAGACATCGAGTATTTTGAATTGCTTTTGATTCCCTTTAATTCTTAACTTTGTACTATTCTAATTTCTCGATTCTCTTCAACAATAGACATCGAAATTTGTTTCTTCGATTCTCGATTTTGATTTTCGATGTGTTTTTATCTTTGTGGTCACCAGGTGTCTTTTACCAGTCTTATCAATTTTTTAACCAACTATATGATTTTCGATTTTTTCTCTCTGGTTCTTTCGATCCTGGTATCGATTTTTCTTTTACTAACAGTAGGTGATTTCAAAAAAATATATCATAATCATATTCAAATGACACCTCGTATCCGTTGGAAAGTAAAGGAAATCACGATTGAACATGTCAAAAAAATCATGCAACATACAATTTCACCACTTAAACTTGTCTTCATATCGTTGTTGAGACACTATAATACAAATGGTATGCAAACACATATTAATGAGTTAAAATGAAAAAAAAAGTATTTCTTTTTAAGTTTTAATTTGTATGCATTTTATTAATGTATTATAATAAAACTGTTTAGGTATTTGTTGAGTTTTCTTCTAATGTATACATTAAGTTTCGTTATATTAAAAAATTACTAATACATTTCGTTATAACTT